TCGTAATGGCTGATCGGACATTGTGACGTCATCATATTGGCATCTGAATTCAAAGAAAGTGATTTATAGCTATGACGTCATTTTTGAAAATACGCATTTGAGCGTATCTCGCTTATCCTTGATCGATCGTCTTCCAACTTTCAGTATGGTATAGCTGAGACAATTCTCTTTCATATATTTGACTTCTTTTTACATTTTGATGACGTCATCATGGTCAAAAAAATTGTTTTTTCTGACCCCTCATTTCTCTTTCTTCAAAACGTTGATGAGCCCATATAATCTTAACCATTCGTCATTTATAAATCATATTAGGTGAGCATAAGCTTCAGGTCAAGGTTGAATGTTATGTACCTTAATTTTCCGTTCGCGCTTTTTAGCGTGCACGTACGCGTGCGTCAACATTTATATATGCATAAAACCATGAATATTTTTAATTAGTTATAGCTCCTATGAAAGGTGACCCCCAATTTTTATTACATAATCTGAAAGCACATGAGTTGTAGATACGATTTTTTACTTCATAATGGCTGATCAGACATTTTGACGTCATCATATTGCCATTTGAATTAAAAAACTGAATTTTTATTTATGATGCCATTATGTTTATACTCGTTTGAATGTATCTCGCTTATTCTTGATTGATTGTCTCCTACCTGTGAGTATGTTATAGCTAAATCAATTCTCTTGAAGACGTGTCCCTTTATTTTTCATTTTGATCACGTCAACATGGTCAAAAAGAATGAATTTTTGGAGCCCTTTTATCTCTCATTCCTAAAAGATGTGAAACAATAGAACAGATGAGGGCGGCAGACTGTATTTCGACGCTATCAGACTAATATATATAGGTTATGTGAAGGGAAAGTTCGTGTGGCATTACCAACTAACAGGCGGTTTTAAATACACTTGACAATGTTTAATTTCGTGTGCTATTACTGTACACGCACACATGGTGACATGCGTGTCTGTTAAATTTGAAAATTCTCCATATTACTATTCAGATAGTTTAAAGAACGTTTCGGGTCATTTTCAGCATTTCAAAACTTTCCATAATTTACCCACCGTACGTTCATTTGCTGCAATGACTTCAAACTTTAATTATGTTGTTTAACTTGTTGATTATTTGCAGGTTGAGCAAAGATGACCCGGAATATCAGACTGGCTTTAATGATGAGTGGAGGTCATTTATTAAGCGAGTGAAAGAAAGAGCACAAGCAAGGCTGGATAGAGCAATGGCTGAAACAGTGAAGGTTTGTTTTACCTTATAACTATAACAACTTCTGTTTTATATTATTACCGTATATTCGGGTGTATAAGCCGCACCTGTGTATAAGCCGCCCCCCCCAAATTAGGACGCGAATATCACAATTTTTTGTGTCACCTGTGTATAAGCTGCACCTATTTTTAAGCTCCAAACCGTTCCCATAATGTTAAGTTTTTAATTATTTTGAAACATTGACATTATTTATAAATGTTCACATAAAGAAATTTCATCTTTTTCGTCCGATTATTGAACAACAAACAACTGGAAATGCGTGTAAACTGCTGGCTACCGCCATGTTAACAATGTATTCTTGCTCTAGGCAGCCCTAGGGAAATCCCCATTTTTTGCTAGACGGTCGTGCTACGTTAAATTTTCAACATCAGTTTAGTTTAATAAATTAAAACACTTATTGAGTATATTTATCTATTTTAAACAATCATTCTATTATTATGTTTACTAATAACAGTCGGTATTAGGCTAAAAATATTGGTAATTCTAGGCCTAAGTCATTACTACTCACAGCCCACTGTGCGAAGCATGCACCATCACGCACCATGTTTTATAAACAAAACTCAGAACTGGAGAAATATCGTGGATACGGAGTTCACGCATGCCCATGACGTATGCCTTTCTACAGTTAAATTCCAGTAAAATAATTATTACAACTTCAAGAAAACTTATGTTTTTATAGCATAAATTAATTTCACAAGTTTTTATTCTAAAATTATAGCGGTATCAATATTCTCTCTATAACGGTACAAGCAAACGGGAACCAGACGTCGAACAGCAAGTTTTACCAGCCCACGTGTGTTTTGTTGCGACATCGAAAATGAAGCTGCTCACGTGACCTCGAGGACCCAATTAACTCCCGAAAAGTAGTTTGTTATTGTTTTGAGCGAAGCGGTTTCCAACAGAAACAGCGTTTTTCAAAATTGTTTGCGATTGAACGTAATTATGAAAGTAATTATTTAGACAACCCAAACCATTGCTAATGTCGTAGAAAATGTAGTAGGAATCGTAGCACAGCACTGTAGTGAGTATAATTACAAATACTAGGCCTAAAAACCGGTCCTACCCTAAGGCTAATTAATTGGGCTAGCATGGGCCTAACCTAGACAGACGGCACCTGATTTTCGCCACGGTTTGCTATCTGAACTTTTGGGAGTAGGTTAATGACCGGTGTATAGGCCGCACCCCAAACTTCGGGGTGGGGGGGTAAATCGCGTATAAAATTTGTGGCTTATACACCGGAATATACGGTATATTATCAACGGCGATCAACTAAAATCATTCTGATACCTTTATTGTTTCATTTTTCCACACTGACATCCAC